CCCCCCCCCCCCCCCCCCACGTCTCCGGTCTTTTCAACCCTTTCAAATCCGAAGTCTAAACCAAACACAGCTCGGGCGCTGGCAGCTTTCTTGGCTGGTCCCTTGGGGCGCTCCCGCCAAAAAAACGCTGTCCCCTCCCTGCAGCACGAAAGCCTCGAAGTCTGTGTATACTCTAGACTCTAGTATTTATGTAGGTTTGGGCTTTCGATAGGAGGCTTATTGCCAAAGTGTGACTACGGCAACAAGCTCACTGCTCGGGAATGCGGCTGTACTCCCTTCCCCAACCAGCTACCAAATCGCAGACTCCAGCGTGTGAGATGATAAACCCGAGGCCCAAAGCGAAAAGCTTGCTGCTGCAGTTCATAGCTTGAGCCGGGTAGAAGGCGAGGCGTCTTCTTCCCAGAGAGCCCGTGTTTGTGCCCGGTGCCAATTGGGTCACAGGACGCAGCTTCAACTGGCTGTGAATGTCATGGTTCTAAGGTAGAACCCATGGGCCCTAGTATGGGCCCTTACCCCTGGGACCCTAATATACCCACTATATACCCTATATATACCCTTAAGGGACCCCAGAATCCCCTAGGGGCCCATGTTAGGGGCCCATGGGTTCAACCTTAGAATGGTGCGATTGCTTGGTAACCCTGGTGTGTTTGGCCCTTACGACCAACGATGCAAAGCGCAGGTAAGCTTTTTTCAAGAAGGGCTTCTCCCAGTTTTTTCAATAAAGGGCTTCTCCGGCTGTGTATTGTCCGGTGTGAAACAGAAACAGACACGACAACGACAGCGACGAGGACAGCAACAAAACGACGACGATGACAACGACAACGACAACGACAACAAACAAATAACACCAGCAGCAGCAGCAGAAGAAGAAGCAGCTCCAACAACAACAACAACAACAACAACAACAACAACAACAACAGTCAGGATAGACACAATAATGGTAGTAAAATTAATTTTGTCAACACGATTAGTAGCAATAGTAAAAAGAAGAAGAATAATAACTTCAATGATCACTAGAACAATGCTGATAATTAAACCACGAAAAGCACGAAGACCAAAGCTCAGACTAATAATGAAAATCATGATAGTAGTAGTAACAATAATGTTAACACTCATTGTAGTAATAACCATAGTAAACATAATACTAATCATAACTATACTAAAAGCCATGATACGAGCCAGTCGTAATGACAACAAGAGCAGTAACAGCAGCAACAACAATGAGGATGGCTATGGTGGTGACGACGATGATGATGACTACGAAGCTGTACTCTTGCTGCTGCCGTTCTACCTATTAACAAGAACAGGTGGAAAGCCACCATCGGTATAGATGTGGTCTGGACTGCAGGTCGTGCGTCGGGATGCTGCATGTGCAGTTTGCGCGGCTGAAGACAAGGCGCACTCCTGCTAGATTTGGCGGAAGACTAGTAGCGTCCACAAAGCCCTGAAAGGAGGTCTCATGTGCCGGAATAGGCAAGGGTAAGCTGTTTTCCAATCCGCGCCTTGGCCCTTGGCCTGCACCTGGAGCCTGCCGGCTGGTCATGGTTGGATATACCCCTAAATCCTAAACCCTAAACCCTAAGGACCTCTCAAATACTCTCTGTAAGTATCACAGTTCCGAGTAGGCGAGGAAGGCCGAAGCTTTCATGCGACAGCCGGCTGTTGTAGGCACCAGGCGGGCCATTTGTGAGGTTTCGGAAAGCAGGCAGAGCAGGAGGGGGAGGGGGAAAGCGAAAAGAGTACATGGCCTAGAATTCGTCGCAAAATCCATGCTGCATGGCTGGCGAGTCACGGGAACTACCCACCTGCATTCGCATGATACGTGCGGCCACGATAGAATACACAGGCACCTCCTGCCACAGAACTTGGAGCAACAGAACTATGCAAGCTTCAGCCCGACTCTTATGTGTGGCAGAAGTGGCCTTTGCAAAAGGAGCCTCGGGCTACAAGAGTGACCAGGTGGAGGGGGCGACGGCTTGAAGAGGCAAGCCGTCGGCCCATGAAAACACGGTGAAACTTGGTGAGATCTCCAACTGGTGCAGGACGCCTCTGAATTCAAAGACTTGTGCATTGATGCGGCGTACTCCCTGCCTGCAGCAGAACCTCTGACTGCCGAACATGGATACCTTGTCAATGACATGACGCCATGACAACCCCATATCAGGGCAGTTGCCTTGCTGCAGCCAAGCCAATTTCACCATCGTGCTGCGATCAGCTTCGTCCTGGATCTTAGATGCCACGCAGAGTCACTTGCAATGGTCAATGATCGCTGTCGCAAGACAGCTGCTGGCTCTGCTTCTGCGCCATGAAGAAACGTCAGATTGCCAGACGAACCATGACTCAGCAAAGGCACGCAGCACTGTTGCAACATGCCTTCTGCAACGGCTTGCCCGGCTAGATGTAGAGGGGTTCGAGTCAGTCCAACACTATCAAAACTGAGGAGATCGCAGTGAAGTCAACGGGTTGGCGGCAACGGTGCTGGCAATGCATCAGGTACCTGTGAGGGACAGATGGGCCGTCCTACTGTAATCGTCAACCTTTCTCCTGCAGAAATAGTGCAACCACCCGATGGGATCTATGAGTGCACTGTTCGTGTCTATGTAGCTGAGACGGTCCGGGAGTCTCGGACCGTTTCAGCCACATGTCGTCTCGAGTTTATGAAGCACACCAGCTACCCTAAAGACAAGACAAAAAGACTACTCACTACCCTCCATCCATCAGCTCCGCCCCAAACCCAGCATTAGCAAAGAAGCGCTCGGGTTCAGTGTATGCTCAAGCGGACGAAGTCAGAGACACACTGGAGATAGCTCAGTCAAAACTCAAAACGATGAGCCACCAAGCAAGTCATTCGTGCAAGCAGGCACGCGAATACCCTAAACCCCAAACCCTAAAACCACCCTTAACCCTAAGCCTTAAACCAAAAACCCTAAACCCCAAACCCCAAACCCTAAAACCACCCTTAACCCTAAGCCTTAAACCAAAAACCCTAAACCCCAAACCCTAAATCTGTTCAGGCCGACCTCCGGGGCTGGGCATTGCAGGCCGGGGCTAACCGTGAAGTGCTTTCAAGGCGAGTGGACCGAAACCGACCACGAAACCCATCAACATGAGAATAACAACTGTCACCAGCGGTGCCAGCAGCACGGCATCATCCTCATCACCATCATCAGCTCATGGCTATTATTACAATAATAAATGTCAAAACATCGCCACCAGCCGTGTTGCCGTCGCCGTCGTCATCTTTCTTGCCGCCCTATCCATGTAAGCAGCATCTGCAACACTTTCAATCGAAAGGTCCTTCCCACGAGCCCCAGTGCGCCGGCCTCTCGCGTCCTGGGCCGCTAGCTTGACTGTCTTGAGTTTTGCAGCTCATGCACGAAAGGACTAAATGGCTCCCATCAGCAACAAACCAAAACGGCCGGAAAGGCTGAATCCTTCAAGTCCCAGCATTGGGGAGTCGGCAGGTGTATGGCCGGGGTGCTTGGTTGAGAGCTTCAAGTCCCAGGTGTCAATATATTCGTATACTGTGGGCCTCGCTACTGTGCACCGCTTCTATGCCTTGGCGTTCTGATCGCTTGATGCTGCACTCGTCTTGATAGAGAGGAGCAGGAGTCGCAACCACACCGCAATGATAGTAAAAGTCCGAAGAAAAAGAAGAAATAGCAGTTCGTGATGGCCACGCCGGCAAAACCTGTCCTACGGACATTCTACATCCCTAGACTCAACCCTTTCAGCACGGACTGAGGTGCCGGCCAGCGCCTACGCAACCCTCACCGTCTCTTCTGGCAAGAAACTCAGCCCAAAACCCAAAACCTCAAAAAATCAATTTCCTCGAAGCCTCCCATGCCCACTGAGGGGTGAAACCACGGGGCCCAGGCGCGCTGGGCGGCGGCAAAGGTGCTGCGAGTGCCTGAAGTGAGTAAGTGTAAGTGTGTGTGCGTGCATGCTCTTCTACTATAGGGTTTATTGGGTTCTATAAGGCTTAAGGAGTTCTATAGGGCTTATGGGGTTTATAGGGTTCTATAAGGCTTAAGGAGTTCTATAGGGCTTATAGGGTTTATAGGGTTCTGCAGGGTTCGCAGGATTCTTCTTTCGCGTTTCTATAGGGTTTCGGATTTACGGTGTTTTTCTTATAGGGCTTCTTTCGGGGGCGTTGTAGGATTAAGGGCTGGAGCTCAGAGTTTTAATCCGTGGGGCTCATGTAAAGTATTCCGGCTCCAAGCTTCAAAGGGCTTAGGAGTGGAGAACACATACGGGAGTTTCCGAAAACAAGGGGTACCTTATTTTGGGTCCTTTTAATAAGGATCCTACTGTTTGGGGTGCTATACTAGGGTCCTCTATTTTCGGAAACTCCCATATACCCTAAACCCTAAACCGTGTGGTTCTTTGAGGAAGGTTTCTTGGGTTCATAGGGTTTGGCCTCACAGGGTTTCGTGCTTATCGGATTTAACGCTTTTCGGGGTTTCAAGACTCCGTTTTAAGCGAAGTGCTCAGCACTTCTGCGAGAAGTCAGTGTGTCATGCCAATCGTGTTAATGGTCATGTTACCAGCAAAGATAAGGGGCAGCAAAGAGTAGTAATGGTAACAGGAGGCCCTTCGGGTGAAGTCGGTGGAATTCTTGTCATTGAGCTGGGTTGTGCCATTGGTTTTCCTGTTACGCCTAGTGGTATGAGCAGGGCTACTAATGCCGCAGCCATTTGCTTTGTTGTTAGCGTTCTACTTCCTCTCCCTTTGTTGCACGATCCATGGTGACAGTTTTGTGAGTGCTACTGTCCATGTCTTGAGAAGGGACGTTGGTGGCTTTGCCTTTAGGACTTCAAAATATCTTTTCGTGCTTCAGTCATGTAATATAGGGGCTTTTATAATTAGAATAGGATTCTGGGGCCTAGTATACTAGTATACCATAGCTATAATAAGGAACCCCCAAACTAGTATTGGCAATCAAACCCGCAGGGGCAATAGCCACAGTCGTCAATCAAGGCAAAATGACACATGACAATATGAGTACTAGTGATTCAGCTGGCCGTTTTGGGTGTAGACAAGCCCAGCGAAACAATACATGATGATGCCTCGTGGTAAAACTCGAACTTCTGCAACTAGCTCGAAGTGAGGTCGCTGGAGATCTTGTGATGCATTATTGTCCATCTGTGTCCCCTTGAAGATGCCAAGCTGAAGCAGCAAGGACTCTGACCCCGGCCCCTAAAATTCTAACCCCCGACTTCTTTTCCGTATGGCCTGCATACTAGTGAGTTAGTAGTGGAGGACCAGGAGCGTAAAGCAAGTAAAGGCGCCAACTCCAAACCAAGCGATGCCCTAATATTGAACCTCACGACATAGTGAGGGGTGGTAATCCTACCTTGAATCTCAAACCCTGATTCGCTCTTTCTAAATTCATTGCCCCCCAAACCCAAAACCCTAAACCCTGAGGAAAAACCCTAAACCCCTAAGGAAAAACCCTAAACCCCTAAGGAAAAACCCTAAACCCTAAGGAAAAACCCTAAACCCCTAAGGAAAAAACCCTAAACCCCTAAGGAAAAAACCCTAAACCCCTAAGGAAAAAAACCCTAAACCCCTAAGGAAAAACCCCGAAAACCCCAAAAATCCGACCTCGGGGCTTCCCCGCGGGTCGGCATCGCAGCCCTGCCCCCGCAAGGCCGGGAGCTTGGGAATGGACATAATAGTTAGGTGCAGGGCTTTTTCCGTCTAGGGCTGTAAATAAATAGATGAAGAAAGAAATATAAATATATATAAATAAATAAACAGATATAAATATAAATATATATATATATGTGACACCCACAAAACGAAGCAATAGATTCATGCTTCTTGACCTGTCCGCAAGGACAACGACGATTACTACTACTAGTTCTCGTTAGTTTTCTTACCAAAGTGTTGTGCTGTCCCAAACAAATCAAATCTGTTTGGAGGCCTGGGGAGCTAGCTTCCAAGACCGGAGCAGATTGCTTTTGTTTTTTTTGGGACTGTGCAGCACTTTGGCAAAACCAGATTGGCTTTCTGGGACAGCACAGCGTTTTTTGATAGTTTTCCGACCCTCTGCAGATGCCCGTGATGCTCTGGTGTGTGCTCATGATGCTGGTCAACGTGGTGCACGAATGCTCTGGTTTGTCATCCCCAGCAACCCCGAAATCCAAGAGACAGTACCTCCTGCAGGAAACTATAATTGGTAATTATTTGGGGTGGGGGGATACCGCATACATGTTATATGTATATATATATATATATATTATATATATATATATATAGATGGGGATATGTGCATATACATATATATATATATATATATGTGTGTGTGTGTGTAAAGTTCGTATCTAGATAATCAGGGCGAAGCCCCAACATGCCTGAAGATGTTCGCAGCGGGTTGGAAGTGACACTTGCAGTGCTCGTGAAACTCTCGTGCAAGGAACGTGCAGCTGGCACGAAACGAGTGTTTAGAGGGTTTCAGGGCTACGGGTAGCCGAGGGTTTAGGTGCGCAGTCGTGCGAAGGAGCTGCGCGTGGTCAAGTTAGAGGACTTTCAGGGGTTCATGTGGCTTTGCGGCTTGGCGTTTCCGAGCCGGGTCTGGTCCAAGGAATGTTTAAGGGGATCTTGACAGGCGTACAGCGGTGCTTTCAGTTCTAGGTTCAATGTAGTCTTCTATTATACGTATTAGAGTATAGATACGAAGTATAAACACCTATCTATCTATCTATCTATCTATCTATCTATCTATGTGGGTTTCTGAAAATAGGGGACCCTAATATAGTACCCTAAATAATAGGATCCTTAATATAAGGACCCCAAAATAAGGCACCCCTCATTTTCGGAAACTCCCATGTGAGTGGTTGTCAAAATTATGGTCCCTTTTTGGGTCCTTATTATAATACGGCACCTAATATTTAGGGTACCCCAAAAGGGACCATAATTTTGACAACTAAACCCTAAACCCTAAACCCTAAACCGTATCTTTTGTAGGGCTTTGTTGGACTTTGGAGTCTCGGGGCTGCATAGCCCAGGCCTCTGCGGAGCTGCGCAGCGCTCGGGGCCTCGAGGGGGCGGGGAGCTGAAGTTCTTGCCGTTCCCCAAATTCCCCAGGCACCTATAGGGTTTAGGGTTTAGGGTTTAGGGTTTAGAGTCTATACGGGTTCTTGCCGTTCCCTAAATTCCTCAGGTACCTGGGGGGTTAGTGACTCTTGACTATACTTCCTAAACTAGCCCTAACCCCCCAGGTACCTACTATATAGGGGTTCTAGGGGCTCTAGTACCCTATAAAGTGGGTACCTGGGGGGTTGGGGGTTATGAGATCCTACCAGGGCTGTGGCTTACTAACCAAGGATGCTGTAAGGGGCATTTGTGCGTGGCCTCTTTTCCATCCTCCTGAGGGTTGGTTGTGAGACTCACGCTCGGAAAGTCTTTGATTATTTGGGGGTTTAACTTGGTTTAACCTGGAAGGCCTGGAGGTCGGGAGTTTGTCATTTCGTCTCTCCGAAAGATCACCCGGGAATCTTTGGGCAGAATCCAAACGTTACGGAGTGCATCACTGCTACCAGCAGCTCGTACCGCACTAGTTCCACACCAGTTCCACGTCAACGGCTGCACTGACCATAGCTGCAGGTATCGGTGACAAGGCCGAATGCGAGAGGGAGGATCAGACGACCACGCGGGAGTGGCAGGACTTGTGGGATTTAGGAGATCTAGAAGTGCTACAACGCTGGTGATTTTCTAGAGGTTGCAGCGTCTCTGGTCCGGCTCAGCTCAACTTCAAATCGAAACCAATGAAAGCTACCTGCAACTGCAAGGGCGCCACACCGAAGTCGGTCAAATAGCCAGTGAAGTGCGTCGTGCAAACGGGAAGGTAGCTGCATCGACGAGTGGTGCCATTCTGGATGCCACCGTACATGATGAGACGTCCGGTGTGTGGCGGGTGTCGCCGGTCTGGTTGGGCACGGTCATCCATATCAATGATGGCTAGGGCCTTCATGAAGCCAGACGTGAAGCAAAGAATATTGGAGATCATCACGAAGCTGCTGTAGTCGGGGCGCTTCTCCGCTGGAACCGCTGCTGCCGGCTGTGCTTGTTCAGTGTTTGCAAAGGCACCGCGCGCAACCATCAATGCCAAAGAAACGAACAGGGCGTGGTCGCGATGGTCGCGGCCATGCCAGATGACTCCTGCACGACTGGTTCGCAGGCATGCTGGCCCTGGATGAACTACAGCGCACGAATGCCAAGTGCCAGAAGTGCAGCGCCGCGCACGCGGCTGCTCCTGGCACGGAGGCTCAACATGGCCGGTATGATGGGTGCTCGATGCCGTCTGCGGGCTGCAAGGGAGCAACTGCGAGCAAAATGCTGCGGAGATCAGCACGGAGGTTGTCGGAACAACAACCTCGACTCGACGAGAGGTGTTGCAAGAGTCACAGGAGAATAGTGATCAACCAGCGTGCACATTTTACGGTCGGGCTTCTTTCGAAGTGCAACTCGGAAACCGAACACGTGGCATACCACGCGAGGCTGCAACAGGGGGAAGTGGGGTGATGGAGCACATGACCGCGGGGATATCGGGTAACTTGGGACTGACACAAGTCTTGGAAGGCCTGCAAGACACCGATGGCTTCCAAAAAGTTTTGGGAAACCGTCGATGCCGAATTCTTGTCGCTTGGACGAAGACATTCGGCTCAGCCGTCATACTCGCCTTCCTCTTCGTCGAACTCTCCCTCCTCTTCGGCGGTTGCATCCTGGTACTGCTGGTACTCAGAAACCAAGTCATTCATGTTGGACTCAGCCTCTGTGAACTCCATCTCGTCCATGCCTGGGGCTACATACGGCTACATCTAAGAGCTTAGAACCGGAGCCCTCGCAGCTCTGTCCTTGCTCCACACCGCAACGGAAATAGCACTAGTTCCTCTGAGGACGCCCGCCTTCACCGGTGTACCAG